GGCAAGTGGGAAGCCAATTATTCCTTTTCCATATCTACTTTATCCTCTTGTGTGTCTATTCCAGCTGCCATCAGGTGAAAGGCATGGAAAATCCTGGACAGGTCACCAGTCCATCACACGGATGGTTAAGGCATGCAGCCATGCATGAACAGAGGAATCTACACACAATGGAACAGTAAGTTAACTAAAAGCGAGTCAACAATTATTGTAAGCACATTTCATCATTGATTTTGTTTTGCATTTGCATGTTTATGGCACCAATTTTGAAATGAGGTTATTAAGCATCTAATATGGCCGACAAGTCATGCCATACAGTGTCATTATGTTAACAAAAATAGGGATGGAACAGGAGCAATGTGTGAAAAAGGATAGTTCACTGCTTTAATAGGAAGTATTTTCTGTACAACATAAACAGTCGCTGACATCATAGTGGAGCAGCATCAGGAATTTAAACTTTATTTATGTAAACAATGCTTTGAACCATTTATTTTATATCTGTGTTATTCAGTTTCCACCATTCTACACACAGAGGATGCCGAAAACCTAGGCTTTCAATACCGGAGTTAATTTTTCTTCTCGGCTTTCCAGCATGCTTGTTTATTAAGTTGGGCTTTTTTCTAAGTGAGTTGTTGAACCTCAATTGAAATTAAATTGTTCTGAACATTTCGTTCTGGCTGAAGAAATAGTTCTTATAATGTATCTCAAAGAACCAAGTCTGATAAAGAGCAGTAACTGAGCTAAAGGTGGATTTACAGAAATCAGGAGAGATATTTTCTCAAGGATTCACTGAAAAGTTGGTGATGCGAATACTGATATTTGATTGTGTATTTATCTAAAGCTTTAGGAGTCAAGTGGTGGCTGAAAAGCTGCCCAAGGTGTGCAGCATTCCTGTTTGACCCTGATTTGGTTTAAACAGGTGTAAGAAATTGTAGATGGGTACAATAAACAAAAATAATTCAATATTTTTAAGATCAGTATCTGTCCACAATTTCAAAATGGTTGTGTCTTGAATAGTTACTGTACCATGCTTTAATAATAATCTGTTAATGTGCTCTGTAAGCATCTGCTCTGGCAGAAATTGTTATAAATTAACGTTTTTTAAGACAAATCAAAACAATGTCAAACTTAATCAACTGGTTTGTTCTTCATTAAGTTGTTTGTTATAAGTCTAAAATGGAGTCATAATGATGCAACTACTGCAGTCCACAGTTTAAAACAAAGTTAATCCCAAAGCAGTTTTTTAAAGAGGCATATGTGCAGATTTCATAGTGAAAGATTATTTTCCTGATTGGGTGTTAACATCTTGTCAACTGACAGTTTATTACACCATAGAAAATCCATTGTGGTCCTCACAAGATAGGCACTGTATGCTTTGAGTAACATAGCAAAGCTCTGAGAGCCATTTGATCCCACTGTAATTTGGAAAGACACTATGAATCAGTCATGACTGTCCCAAAGCTGTCACAGCCTATGAAATAGTAAATGAATTATGGCAATATCAGTTAGAGCAAGTATTGTGAAAGCAATCATTACGGGCAAAACAGCCATCTTTGAAAACTGCTTCAGGATTCAGCACTGTGATGTGTTATTTTACAGGAACAAATTCATAAAGATTAAAAATAAACATTACATAAACTCCTTTTTGTTGGCTCATCTCCTAGTGTGGGGGTGTAACAGGGGAGAAGATGGTTGTGTCTGTGTGCAACACAGTCTTTCTTAAATGCATCAAAAGACAGATTTTTTTTTCAAAATCCATAAATTTATAACTTCTTCAAACAACTTTTAGCATGAATTTATGACTTATCTTTCGTATGTAAATGCATATTTTTCTATTTCAGTAATCACAGTATATTCATGCTTTGAGATGGGAGGTTATTAGATGGTCCTTAAATGACAGGTTCCATTCAAAGTCTCCCAAACATCTTGATCATGTGAATCCTGGTTAAGTACAGAATGGGCATTGGCTCCAATGAAAAATCCAAACCCTCTGGCAGTGCCCCATGGAAATGTGGCAAGCGCTGCATGGATTCCGACGTATCTGGGATTATTAAAAGACCTGAGAACAAGGTCAAAGACTTGCAGAAGAACACAGAGCAAGTTAAACTTAACTTCCACTTCATCCCCGAGGCTCTGAAAATACTTAGGAGATAGTTGAGGCAGGCTCTGTTGAAAGCTCCCCCGCCGGCACGCAAAGCTTTACTTTTGATGTTAATTCCTTGAAAGCTGTTTCTTTAGCTGGGGATTAGTGCATGAAGAGCTGGGCTTACCATGCTCTGGCTAATAAAGATGAAACATCTAACACAGGTACTCGTACATACACTGGCTGGGAACAGTTCCTATAAAGTTGCCTTAATTATAGAAAACTAACTTCGCTTCAGTAGCTATAAGAATAGGACGACATTTGTAGTTTTAGAATACTATGGTATTAAACGTTAAAAATCCTCTGTGTTCTTAAAAACAAATCTTGAGGTAAAATAATGAATACCTACACATCACTTTTTCGGCTTGTGCAATCAAGGATGCCTTCATGGAGTGCTTTCAGCCCCTCTCGCTTCAATCTCCTCACCATTCTGGAAAAGACTGACAATTATGAAGTGTGTCCATTACAGCAGCTGATTAGTCTCTGTGTCTGTTCTGGCTTGAGCGAATGTCGTAGTTAATAATTCTGTGGCAGCCTGCATAGAAAGCTGACACCACAATTCATCTGCCTGGCCAAAATCTCAGTGATTAATAGATGTTTCACAGGAACATTCGCCCTTTTGAATATTTGAAATGGTTCTCCCCATTACTGAGTGCTCTGCTTTGACAGTTTAAGAAGTAAATTAATCAATCCCATCACTGAATCTACCCTGCTATCAAGTACAATGAATGAGTTTCCTTTCATCACTTAGTTGGCCATATTCCAATGATTAATACCAGTATGATTAATTCCACCGACCTTTATTTACTAAATTCATAGATATTTAATATTGCTGTCTCCTCATTGACAAGAAGACAATATTAGCAAATTACCTCAGTGGGCATTATAACATGCACAATGCATTAAATCTTTAACACTAAAGCAATTCACAGTAGCCTCAAATCAAATCCAATTATCACAACTGAGCTTAGCAGAATTCCATTAGATGTTGGACCACACAGTTGTTCTGCAGTGAATGTGGTAGTGTTTATTTGGTCTTTGGCAGTCTGCGTGCAGCGAAAATGTCTTGTACAAGGTATATTTTGATTATGGATAAATCTATGACCCAGTTTGGATTCATGGAAAAAGCATTAATATACTCTGGTTACAGTTGTGAACTTGCATACAGTTATATCATTGGACAGGAAGGCACAATCATATTAATGCCATGAGGCTTTTAAGAGAATATAAATGTTATTTATCTGATCTATAACGATATGGCTGGAATTCATCCTGCCCCAACTGTCACCATGCATATTACATCTAGTTGAGAAAATATTACAGTTGTCAATAAGGTACTCTTGGATGAAAGTGTCAGAAAGTCATGTCAAGTTATAAATATAATTTATTCCAAGGTCACATGGGTCAAGGCTTCACTGAAAAAGCACTCTTGATATATACATATGTAAAAGGAGTGTTTTGTGTTATATAGAACATAAATGTTTCTGTATGCAAATACATATTTAAATATTAGCATTTTGAAAAAATGGCTGTGCAGTGCAACTTCACCATGGAAGTCATGTACCAGTGGGCTGAGCTGACTTAGGACTTTAGCAGCCCGTCTTTTAAGGTGTGCACCTGTTGAAAAATTCACAAGAATCCAACCTTCAAACATAATTTTCAGCATATAATGTTTGGTAGGTCCATTATCATTTAATTTGACTAATTAATATAGAGAGAAACAAAATATTAAATCAGCAAAATGTGAGTTTTTGCATTTAGTCTAACAAGACTGTTACTTTCTCTGCTAACACAGGACTCAAATGTCTCCTATCAGTGGATACAGATACACTCACTACACATAAAAAAGGGTAAATATTTAAGGAATGAATAAAAATGAGAGAATTCTTCAGAATGACAAGTTATGTGAACCATGACAGGACAAATGAAAAATGTAATATGTTTAGATCTGCTTCAAGGTCTATGAAGAGCCAATATTATTTTCCTTCCACAATGCCACGAAACAATACTTCAACAATTCACGATGTTAAGTCCCTTGATGTCACTCGTTCAAATTGCAATCCATAAACGGTCTAACATGATTGCAGACAAAAGTAGGAGGGAGAAGGAGAAGCACTTCTAAACATTAGGGAAGAATGAGGCTCGTGTTGCAAAAACACACCATCAGCACATTAGCAGCTGGCTTCTTTTTTCAAATAGAATACATATGGAATTATGTGCACGTACCAAAGCCTTTTGTCGATACTTAAACGTGATATTTTTTCTAATTACATGATTTATAACAAAACATTTTTGGTCAAGAGCTCATATAGCATGGGAATAGCATTAGCTTGAATATTGAATGAATGGTCTTAGTAGGTAATTTTACTCTGGCCAGGAAGCAAATTCAAGGTCTAAATGTACACTCTAGGTATTGATCTTCCTCTACCACAAATATTCTGAATCTAAAGTAATTACTGACGTATAAGTGCAGGAAAGGGTGTCAAGTCCAGCTTCTCGTAAAGAAAACAATGAATATGAAGAAATATTCATGTTTAAAGCTGAAAGTGTGAATGAGATGGTGATTCTTTTATATCTGCAAGAGCGTTTATGTGAGATTGGAGGTGATAAGATGAATAAATGCTGCAGGATATAACTTAATTTGCAACTTTCTAAACATTAAAGGGTACTTGTGGTGCTTTAAAAGCAAAGAACTTTTGTGTTGGGACCGCTCTGAGATGGACTTTGCTGCCCCATAAGAATTCCTCCAGGCTTCTCCAAACTGAGAGCTCTGGTCACTGTCAACTGTGCATGATATAGTGCATCAAACAACCCTTTTTCAAGAAATACCTAGGAGGCATTGTTGTTAGTTTTTACTGACCCCCCTCTGAAGGTGGCAGATCAGAACTTTGGTTCCCAGCGCCTTAAAGAAGGTTCAACAGAAAAGCAGAAATGAGCAATTATTGAGTCCAAAAACTACTCACAACACAGTAAAGCCACGTAGCATCAGAGCATGAAAAAAAAAAAAAGAAAAAAAAAATTACAAGTCATATATATCTATGTCGCTGTCCAGTGCTGAAATGTCGCTGTCCGGTGCTGAAATGTCGCTTTCTATCTATCTATCTATCTATCTATCTATCTATCTATCTATCTATCT